ATCCCCTGCGGGGTAATGAACCCACCCCACYTCAGCGCTGGGGGTCTGGATACCAACAGAGACCCCACCCATGGAAAAAAAATTTGTCGAATAAAGACCCCCCAGCCCTCTCTGAGAGGTTCTGGGGTTTTTTTTGGGGTCACCCCATCCCCGGCCGTGCCCCCCCCGACTCACCACAGGCGCTGTAGAGCGGGGAGCACTTGTAGGACGGCACCCACAGGTTGGCCGAGCCCGTGTCRAACACCACCTTGAAGGTCTGCGCGGGGGTCCCGATGCTGATCTCGCCGAAATATTGRGTCTGGGGGCGACGGGGAACATCCCTGGGGCACAACTCGGGCAGGGCAGGGCTCCCACCGAGCTGGGGTGACACTTGGGGTGACAAASCCCCGCCAGGCAGGGTGACACTCACGTCCAGGTAGTTGGTGAGGAGGGTGGGAGCCGTCCCGTTGCGGGGACCGTCCCCTGCTCCGCGCCGGCCCCGCAGCAGCTCCGGGAACACCTCCCGCACCTTCACGCCCATCTCCTGCAGCGTCTGGCGGATGGACGGCATCCTCCGCAGCGCGATCCTGGGAGGCAGGACGGGGCTGGGAAGGTGCCGGGCGATGTCCCCCAGTCCCCCGGAACCTTCCGGCGGTGTCCCCTGCCTCGGGAGCTCCGGCCGGGCGGCTCTAGATGGCAGCAGCTCCCCGCCGCTCCCCCGGCGGGTCCCGCTCGCACCGCGCCCGCTCGGGGGGATGCGCTCAGCGCACCCYGGGGTGGGTGGGGGCGGCAGGAAGGACCCAGCACCCCCGAAATCCGCCCCAAATTAGCTTCAGCTGGGTCGTTTGGGATTCGGGGCGCTCCCGAGCGATTTAGGGTTATTTAGGTGGGGTAAGACCCCCGGCTCKTCAAGTTCCACCATGACCGTGCGGTGCTCGAGRRAGAGGAGTGAGGAAGAGCAGAGYAGAGGAGGAGGAGAAGGAGGAGGAKGAAGGGGRTTCCCAGCGTGGCTGAAGYAGGAGAGACCCTCACCCCCTGAGAGCCCCCGGAAAAAGAAAAAAAATGGGGGTGACAGCACCGTGAGGGCCCCACGAGCGCCGGCTACCTCTGCAAAGCCTGGGCTGGCCAGGGGACAAAAGTGACACCCCAGGTGACGGCCAGGAGCAGCAGGCACCGCCGCAGCCTCCCGCTGGCTCCCGCCGGCATCGCGTCCTGCGGGGCGGGCACCTCCCGAGCCGGCGGCTCCGTCCCGTCCCGTCCCATCCCATCCCGCCGGGACGATGCTTTTATAGCCCCAGATCCCTGCGGGATCCTCCTCCCCCGGCGGGGGSAGGGCTGGGAATCCCGCGGGTGTCACCGGGCAGGTGGTCGTGGCTGTCCCCGAGGGGGGTGACAGCGCCAGGAGCCCCCGCAGTGCCCGGGGGGAGCGGGGCGAGGGGAGCTGTGGGTGTTTGGGATGTGGGAATCCGCGTTCCTTGGGGTTCATCGTTCCCAAATGACCCCGCACCCCATAACGGTGTGGGGGACACAAATCCCTGCCGGTGTCACCCCGGTACTGGTGGCACTGGTKGCAYTGTCCAGGTGACAGCCCGGCCAGGGAGGTGTCCCCAAGCTCCACCTGTGGAGGAACAATGGGATTTCCACAGGGAATGGGAACAGCGCCGGACACTCGGCCGTGGAGACCCCAAATGACGACCCCAGCCCCCTCTGCCATTTTTGGGGGATGCTCCGGGGACCCCCCCCCAAGCCCAGCTGTGTTCAAGCCCCGAGCAGAGAACAGCCAGACTCCGTACGGGATCAGATCTTGGGGTTTGGGAAGGGAAATGTTCCTCAAAACCTTCAGGAGGTCCCAGCTGCACCCCTGATCCCCCCAAAATCGCCGTGTCCCCCCCCCGACCCTGCCCTGCCCAGGGTGCTGGACCAACCCCGCGGCTCCCAGGGACTCCTGACCTCACCAATCTCAGCGGGAAATGACCCTAAAGGCAATAAAAATATTCTTGGCCCGACATTTGCCCCCAATTCCCGGCCCCACAATCTCCCTCCCGTTAACGGGATTTGTTCAGGGCACCCCACAAACAACTTTCCCTTAAAATCAGAGGTCGAACGCCCCTTTCCCTGCGGGATTTCGGCTGCCAGGGCAACGCTGACCCCGGGCGGGCCCCAAAGCTCAGCCCCACGGGGATCTGTCCCCATTCCTGACGTCTTTTCCCACGCAGGACCCTGTCCCTGCGTCACTCCGGGGAGCCTCGTGGCCCGGCGCAGGTTGCGGGGAGGGGAAGGGGTCAGGAGCTGCAGCGGCGTGAGAGGGTCTGGAGAGGAGCCAGCGGCCATAAATCCCTTGCCCGGGCATCCCACGGGCTCGGCCCGCTTTGCCAAGCTCCGCTCTCCACAGGAAAAGCGGCGATTTCAAAGGAAATCAGCGGGGGAATGGGGGCTGGGGATGTGGGGCTGTGGGGATTGGGCGTTTCTGGCCCTTTTTGATCCGGGGAAGCCCCATCTGTGGGNCACCATGGGACACCTTCCCTATGCCAGGAAAAAACCCCAAAAGGCATTTCCCGGTCCCGAAGTGGGGATGAGCGGGAAATGCTGTGGAAAAGGCTTTTAAAAACCCAGAAAAGCGGTTTTGTGTGGGGTTAGAGGGACAGGGGCACAGGAGGGATGGGACAGGGACATCAGTCAGTTCTGGGTCATTCCCAGCCCCAAATCCACAGGGAAAATCCTCAACTCTTCCCATTCAGCCTCAAAATATCCTTTAAACKGAATTTTTAACAGGGTTCCAGGGCACCGGGAAAGGCAGGAATCCCTCAGTGGATTCACACGCTGCAGTTTTCTCCAAAATCCTGGGGTTTTATCCAATTACAGATCCCATAAAAATTTACAGATTTGGGATTTACACAGWATCTGGGATTTACAGATCCCATAAATAGCAGGGAAACGCTCTSCAGGCATTTCCCTCCAATCTTTCCCAGGGAGCCGAGGGATTGGGGGAATGGGAGGAAAACTCTTCCCAGAGAGGAACAATAGTCTTCCCGATGGATATTAATTAATTTYCTGATGGAAATTAATTCCTTGAAATAAAATCCGAATTTTTTAGCACTTTCCTCCCCAAACGGAATCATCGGGAAGTTTSGCTGAACGGCTTTGATTTCTTGAGGGTCTCAAAAGGTTTTTTGGGGTGAAACAACAAAAAAAAAAAATGAGGTGAATTTTTTTTTTGCGCTTTTCTAATCCGGGGGTTTGCTGCCGGTAAAAAACACACGAGGCTCGTGAGGATCTTTAATCCGGGTGAGCGAAAAGCTCCGGCGTGAAAAACAACTTTTGGGAAGGGTTTAGGATGGCACCGGCGCCGGGGGAATTGAGGGATTGACGTCAGGGCAAACCCCGAGCTTGTGCTGGAAASCAAAATCCTGCCAGGGAGAGGATTTACGGGGCTGGGGGGAAAACTTTCCCTGTGAAAAGTTCCGGAGAGGAGATCGTAGCTGTTCCCTGAGGGTTTGCCAGCCGGGAAAAGCTGGGTTTGCCCCGGGGAAGGGTCTGGGGGGATTGGGGCAACCTGGGGGAGGGGGAAGTGGTCCATGGAGCGGGGGATGGGGTGGGTTTTAGGATCACTGCGAACCC